ATACATCCATCTATCTATCCATCTATCTATTGCTCTACCCATCCATCTATCTATCCATCTTTCCTTCCATCCATCCATCTATCTATCTATCTATCTATCTATCTATCTATCTATCTATCTATCTATCTATCTATCTATCTATTTATTGCTCTATCAATCAATCTATCTGTCTATCTATCTATCCATCTTTCCATCCATCTATCTATCTGTCCATCTATCTATCCATCCATCTATCTATCTATCCATCTTTCCTTCCAGCTATCCATCTATCTATGGCTCCATCCATCCATCAATCCGCACGCATGATATTGCATGTGTTTTTCAGGTATTCTCCATTCCCTCTGATCAGTTGAAGAGGTTTAGGATATTCCTGCAGAGAGATTGTGTGTGTGTGTGTGTGTGTGTGTGAGAGAGAGAGTGTGTGTTGAGGCTCTTCTGGTCCATCAGTGACAGAGACCCGCTGCACTCCTTCACTAGGCTCCTCCAGTCATGGAAAGTTTGCACACAGTGCCCAGATTTACTGCTGCGCTCGGCTTTACAGCCAGCGTGTGTTTACCGTAGAACCCTGGGCCGCGGTTCAGGAATGTGTTTCAGCCGAGCGGGACCATCCCGAATCTCCAAACCCGCTCCTGCAACACTGACACATCCCAGACAACCCATCATCGGAGATCTCTGGAGTATGAGCGACTTTCTGCTGGAAATATATTTCCATTATTACTATAGATGGAGATAGATGGAGCGTTGATGACGATGGCACAGTGGATAAGACACATGCCTTTGGTGTGAGAGACCCGGGTTCAAGTCCACTGTGAGAAACCAATGTGTCCCTGAGCAACACACTTAAAGGACAACTCCGGCGCAAAATGAACCTTTGGTCTAATTACACATTGTTACCTAGTCAACCGTTATCTGAGATTTGTTTTCATGATTGCCGAATGTAAATAGTTTTATCTCTAAAAACAGTTTAGCCTATAACGCTAGTATAATGCTAGTATATAGAGCATAGAGTAATGACAAATAAAAATCGCTTGTTATTACCACTAACAAGGCTCAAAATAGCCCCCAAGTAACACGACAGCATAACAAGGGTCCCTACATTCAAACCGAAGCATTGAGAACTTTGTCAGTGTCCATACAGTTTAATAAGAAGATATTTTATACACACAGTCAACTTCGCGAATACAGGAAGAAGCCATCTTTGAAAAATAGTCTCTACCAGTCGATCTACGAACGCCGATCCAAGTGCGCTGAACTGAGCAGAATCTCATATGATCCGTTGTTTCCGGAAGAAACACAAACACGAACCGTTTTCTTCTCTTCAATATGTACATGTATCCTACTGTTCGCGCTCACCTTATCACCTTATTCACATCTCACCAGCGCACTTGGATCGGCGTTCGTAGATCGACTGGTAGAGACTATTTTTCCAAGATGGCTTCTTCCTGTATTCGCGAACTTTTCTGTGTGTATAAAATATCTTCTTATTAAACTGTATGGACACTGACAAAGTTCTCAATGATTCGGTTTGAATGTAGGGACCCTTGTTATGCTGTCGTGTTACTATGGGGCTATTTTGAGCCTTGTTAGTGGTAATAACAAGTGATTTTTATTTGTCATTACTCTATGCCCTATACTAGCGTTATAGGCTAAACTGTTTTTAGAGATAAAACTATTTACATTCGGCAGTCATGAAAACAAATCTCAGATAACGGTTGACTAGGTAACAATGTGTAATTAGACCAAAGGTTCATTTTGCGCCGGAATTGTCCGTTAACCCCTTGTTCTCCAGAGGCGTGTGACCTCTGACATATATAGCAATTGTAAGTCGCTTTGGATAAAAGCGTCAGCTAAATGAAGAAATGGAAATGATGATAGAGAGATAGATGTGTGCAGGGGCGTAGAGTTAAGCAGGGACGTGTCCAGTGACACTGATATATCCCGAGCAATAATTTCGATCAAAACTTAAAATATATTTATGCATTGATGTCCCTGTCCCCACCAATTTCAAAATCAAACCTTCGCCACTGGATGTGTGTGAGTATATGTATATAAATATTTTAATCTTAGCAAAACTAGTGATTTAAAACTTAAAAACTACTACTACTGCTTTAAAACTATATATGTATGTGTGTGTGTGTAATTACACATTTTTGCATTTGATATATCTACATAATGCACAGAATGTTAATATATGTGTGTGTGTGTATATATAATATATATATATAACTTTTCTTTTCATAGTTATGCTCAGAATGTAAGCATTTTAATGGAGTGCAATTTCTATAAACTGAGAAGCCACAGTTGTAAAGGAAAGCTTCAGTTAAACAGGATCATAAACGCACACAAAAGCATGATAGAAACGAGATTTATTTTGTAAAAAGTTATAAAATGAATATTGTACAAAAATAAAGTCTGTAGAGAGCTTTGGTTCAGTAACACAAAAACAAGACGAGACGTCTCAGTCACAGGAGCGACGGGAACTTTATCTTGAACGCTTTCTTTCGAGGAATCCGTGAACGTGAGTTACGTGTGCGTTAGCAAACCGCCATCCGTCAGCAGCAGACGTGTGTTTCCATGCTAACACGCGTTCATCACCAGGAAGGGGAACAGCTGATGAAATATATCCTGATAACACAGGCTTGGCCTAGATATACTTCAGGAACGCTGGATTTGTTGGGATTACGGCATCATTCTGGCATCATAATGCACAGGACGAGTGTTTCTCCGAGTCTCTCTGTGTGTGTGTTTACAGTCCAGCGCACAGATTGCTCCACGACCATCCCCTTGAGAAGTTTATTTCAAGTCGGATAGAGCAGACAAAGCTGATTTGACATAATTGGTTTTAAACGGGAGCGTTTGTACAGATTAAGTCTGCCCTTACCCAGAGAGCAATTCTGCATTAAAAGACGTCTACTAGCCGTGACCTGCAGATCGACCTGCTCGTGAAATGCCACTGATATCTTGGAGATGTTCTTGACATTGGTAACATGATGATATCAACCATCTCTGCCAAAAAACCACAGTCAATCAGTTCTAACTGTAACTGAAATATGTTAAAGAAATGAAAGCGAACACCGTGTAATCAGTGTTGACTATCATATCGTAGTTATTTCGGCAAAAAACGCGTTATTTTGGATAGAAGCGAGACTAAAGTTGATCTAGACGCTGTTGCATGCTGGGTAGCGACTAGGGGTGTAACAATATGTCGTGTCATGCAACATCTTTCAATAGTTTTAATGTCAGTACTACATTAAACTGCTACATATAATGTTAAATATAATGTATAATAACTCCAAAAATTAGAATATGGTGCAAAAAGTCAGTAATTCAACTTAAAAGGGGAAACTAATATGTTATATAGACTCATTACATGCAGAGTGAGATATTTCAAGCCTTTATTTGTTATCATTTTGTTGATTACAGCTTATGAAAAGTCAAAATTAGAATATTGTGGAAAGGTTTTCATATCCGTGAGCCATAATTATCACAATTATAACAAATAAAGGCTTGAAATACCTCAGTTTGCATGTAATGAGTCTATATAATATATTAGTTTCACCTTTTCAGTTGAATTAGTGAAGTTTTGCAGGATATTCTGATTGTTGGTGAGTTCAGGATGGTGACACGAGTATCGCTACACCCCTCGCAGGGACAAGCGCTCGGCGGGTTTAAAGAGGTCGCACGTAACATTATTTACTGGGATCAGACTCGACTCGTCTCTGGCGCTGGTTTGGTTCCAGCGAGATGTAAACACGCCGGGCCAGACCGTATTTTAAAGAGATGTTTGGAGACGAGCCATGTGAGGTCCAGCGACTGCCACCGAATCTGAGTGATGTGATGGCGGGAGAGCAAAACAACATCAGCCTTTTATTTTCTACCAGAATAGTTGGTCCTCTAGAGGAATTCCTGCTTATTATCTGCTGTTTTGTTGTAGGAAACAACGGCAGAGTTCGGAGAGCGAGCGAGCGGTGCCGGACGTCACGGATGGGACGAGATTATCTGCTTTTCTTTAAAGGAATCAATCGTTCGAGGAAAGATTTGCTCAAACTCATGTCGTTCCAAACCCATCTGACCTTCTTCCCAGAAGCACAAGAGGACGTCACCGACAAAACGGTGCATTATAAAACATCATAACATTATTGTTCATCGACGGTCTGATTTTTTCTTTTTATACCCGTCACATTTCAGTCAGTCCTGTCAGGATCTGTCAGCAAACATGGCTTGATGAGTCTGACTGGATGACATTTGCAGTCTTAAATGTGTCTGATTAGTGAATTTCGCATTCAGTCATAATTTCTATTGGAATACGTGATCCGTAATATTGTTTCCTCATCCAGATTAGCTGTGATTCATACATCAAAATACGTCAAATAATATATAAATATACATTTATATATGAAGAGTTCAGATGCAAAAGCCTCTAAGTGCCATTTGAAATTGTCTTCTTTAATGATGATTTTTATCAAACTTGTATATTTAAGTTCAGTAATTTCACTTAAATAACAATTAATAGGTAATTATCATTGCCATTTAAGTGAAATTACTGAACTTAAATATACAAGTTTGATAAAAATCATCATTAAAGAAGAAAATTTCAAATGGCATTTAGAGGCTTTTGCATCTGAACTCTTCATATATATATATATATATATATATATATAAGTGCTGTCAAATCGATTAATTGTGATTAAAGTTTATAAATATATTGTGTGTGTGTGTGTGTATATATATATATATATATATATATATATACACACTGCTCAAAAAAATAAAGGGAACACTAAAATAACACATCATTGACCTGAATAAATGAAATAATCTTATTAAATACTTTTTTCTTGTTTTTACTTTTTAAGTGTTGTTTAAGTGTGCCCTTTATTTTTTTGAGCAGTATATATATAATAGATTGAATACATCAAATTAATTGATTTGACAGCACTAATACATATAAATATATATATAAGTGCTGTCAAATCTAACATAAAAGTTTGTATCCACACACACACATATACTGTATATGCAAACTTTTATGTTCGATGTGATTAATCGATTTGATAGCCCTATAATACTATGTTCTAAGTATATTTGGCTAATGTAACCGACCGTACCGTGACGTGTCTGGGTTTGGAACGACATGAGTTTAAATAAACGACAAACTGTAAACGACTCCTTTAAACACACATGCTCAAATTTGGCACCATCCAAGATAGAGAACAAAAAAACCCTCCTTAAATAAATAAGAGAAACAAACACTCTAATACAATGGATTGCAATAAATAACAATAACTTAATTAAATCTCAATAAATACATTTTCATATATACTATATCATATATATAGATAGCTTTCTGGATATTAAAGATGTGGAGTCTGTTGTTGTGTGGTCTCTGATAATCCACCGATAAGACACACACACTCATTCCACCAAACGCCGCTAGTTACTGTGTAAACGCTCATCTTGTGGTTCGGTAACAGAGTGAACAACACTGAATATCTCGAGTCCCAGTCGGAAGCGGCTCGGCTCAAACGCACGCGCACTTTTTGGCGGAGTGCTTTTTAAGTGTGTGATATTCCAAGCTGTCGTCCAGGAAGGAGATGTCGTCGTCGAACGCGATTGGCCGACAGCAGGTCCGCGACGGCGTGTCCTTGTCCAGCTTGCGGTCGTGTGTGAGGTTGTTCAGGATCTTGTCGTAGTTGGTCTCGGCGTCGTGACACGGGCCGCTGCAGTAACGGAAGATCAGCTCTTCTTTGGTCGCGTAACCCAAGCCCAGGTCCGTGACGTTCAGGTGGATCTCTTTCAGGAGGCAGCCCCGCCCTTGACCTTTGACCCTGTCGTCTCGGCTTTCCTTCCGCCCGCGACCCCTCTTTCTGTCTCCGCGACCCCGCCCCGACCTCTCGCCGTTCGCCGCTCCTCTCTGCCGGCCTCGGTCCCGCTTCGGCTGAGATTCGGCGTGTGTGTGAGGAGATCTGCGCAGTCGGCCCAGAGTCGCTTCGATGAAGTCCATCACGCTCTCGAACCGCTCCGGGTAAAGGCCGTTTACAGCGTCTTCAGGAGACACAGGAAGATTAGCTTCGTTAGTCATGCATTTGTGATATTCCTCGATACGTCATTTAAAATAATGCACAATCTGAAAATGTAACATGAGTCATTGTGTTGTTGTTCTCAAACGTTCGTTAATTGAATTGAAGTGGAATAAGTAGTATAAAAAAATCTGTTATTTTATTATTTTATTATAAAATGTATTTTATTTATATAAAATATTTGGTTTAAGTTGAATAAATGAAAATACTACAACTAAAATTGAAATATAAAATAACTAGAGAACAGCAAAATTATTAAAACCTGAACTAAAATTAACGATAATAATAATACTAAAGGACGCTGGTGTGACTTTTAGTGTAAATATGATTAGTTTTTAAAAAATAAAAAAGTAATTCAAAATATTATTAAATAGCATAATAATGATGCTAAATAAACACTATGAATTTTAATATAAAATTCCCAGGACCTTGGAAAAAGTGCATATTACATTTTTTAAAAACATTTTCTATTTATTTCAGGTTGAAATGAGATTCTGATCTGCAAAATTATAAAACTAAACAAGACATATTTAAAAATAAAACTACAAAAAATTAATAAAACAAACTAAATTTAAAATGAATAAAAAGCATATTAATGATCGTAAAATAGCAGTGGTTTATAGTGACCTAGAAGATGAAGTGCAGAAATATTCCCGAAGCCTTTAGTGTTTATAAGTGAGCCTGTGGTCTGCAGATGCTCAGCGTTCTCTCAGACTGTATATACGCTATGATATTGTTTATTTGTCCCTATCGGGCGAATAACCCTGAATAACGGCGGATGACTCGGGATCCCGTGTTTTCATCTCAAGACTGCCATGGAAAATCTTCAAGATGAAGACATTGAGGTACAGCAGAAAACATCTGCTCAGCCGCAAACTGGAAACATGCGTCTTCAACAAAAGCAAGCGCTCGTTTGATCTGCATGTAATGCACCATGATTTCATTACGTCCAAACTCGACGTTCACTCGCTCGTCATTCAACCCCGTCGAGCGGATCACGGTTCTCGGAACAGATCTGCAACTGATGCCGCTAATCCTCCTTTTCCCCAAATTATTTCACTTAAAATGTTGCAATGATGTAGACGTGAGTTTATAAAACTGAAAATATTACAAAAAATGTGGAGAATTTTCATAGTCTTAATCCATATGCAAAAGTTGTTTTCCTGTACTAACATCTATGGATTTTTTTAGGACATTTTATGCACCACTTTTGGGTCAAAATTATGATTATGACTCAGTGTTGTTATTGTTCATGAAAACTATTCCAAACATTTACGTTACTGGGATTAAAAAACGTTCAGTTATACTTTCATATGAAAAATGCATTTTTAAATTACAGTAACTAAAATCTGTTGCCGTTAGTTCATCCAAGCCAGTGCAACACGAGCAAAGATTAGGCTCGTGTTAATAAGGTAAAGATAAGGCTATAAAGATAAGGCTATTCGCTAGAGAAGAGATGCGAGGAGCTCAATGAAGACGTTTATTCACAGACGAGCGGCTGTGAGAATACAGCGTGATGCAAGTTGTACATAATCAATCGTGGTGCACTCCTGTAATCTGACAGAACACTTTCAACGCCCGTCTCAGTGACTCTCAGGCCGGCTTTTACATACAAATAAGTTACAGCACATCTAACATGCATGAACATCTGTTCCACTGTAAATGAAGGACTCTCGGGGGGACTGAGGATTCAGATGCGAAGTGAATCTAGTTTAGCTGAGAGGATTCAGATGTGATGTGAATCTAGTTTAGCTGAGAGGATTCAGATGCGAAGTGAATCTAGTTTAGCTGAGAGGATTCAGATGTGATGTGAATCTAGTTTAGCTGAGAGGATTCAGATGTGATGTGAATCTAGTTTAGCTGAGAGGATTCAGATGCGAAGTGAATCTAGTTTAGCTGAGAGGATTCAGATGCGATGTGAATCTAGTTTAGCTGAGAGGATTCAGATGCGAAGTGAATCTAGTTTAGCTGAGAGGATTCAGATGCGATGTGAATGTAGTTTAGCTGAGAGGATTCAGATGTGATGTGAATCTAGTTTAGCTGAGAGGATTCAGATGCGATGTGAATGTAGTTTAGCTGACAGGATTCAGATGCGATGTGAATCTAGTTTAGTGGAGATGATTCAGTTGCGATGTGAATCTAGTTTAGTGGAGAGGATTCAGTTGCGATGTGAATCTAGTTTAGCTGAGAGGATTCAGATGCGATGTGAATCTAGTTTAGTGGAGATGATTCAGTTGCGATGTGAATCTAGTTTAGTGGAGATGATTCAGATGCGATGTGAATCTAGTTTAGCTGAGAGGATTCAGATGCGATGTGAATCTAGTTTAGTGGAGATGATTCAGATGTGATGTGAATCTAGTTTAGCTGAGAGGATTCAGATGTGATGTGAATCTAGTTTAGCTGAGAGGATTCAGATGCGAAGTGAATCTAGTTTAGCTGAGAGGATTCAGATGCGATGTGAATCTAGTTTAGCTGAGAGGATTCAGATGCGAAGTGAATCTAGTTTAGCTGAGAGGATTCAGATGCGATGTGAATGTAGTTTAGCTGAGAGGATTCAGATGTGATGTGAATCTAGTTTAGCTGAGAGGATTCAGATGCGATGTGAATGTAGTTTAGCTGACAGGATTCAGATGCGATGTGAATCTAGTTTAGTGGAGATGATTCAGTTGCGATGTGAATCTAGTTTAGTGGAGATGATTCAGTTGCGATGTGAATCTAGTTTAGCTGAGAGGATTCAGATGCGATGTGAATCTAGTTTAGTGGAGATGATTCAGTTGCGATGTGAATCTAGTTTAGTGGAGATGATTCAGATGCGATGTGAATCTAGTTTAGCTGAGAGGATTCAGATGCGATGTGAATCTAGTTTAGTGGAGATGATTCAGATGTGATGTGAATCTAGTTTAGCTGAGAGGATTCAGATGTGATGTGAATCTAGTTTAGCTGAGAGGATTCAGATGCGATGTGAATCTAGTTTAGTGGAGATGATTCAGATGCGATGTGAATCTAGTTTAGTGGAGATGATTCAGTTGCGATGTGAATCTAGTTTAGCTGAGATGATTCAGTTGCGATGTGAATCTAGTTTAGCTGAGAGGATTCAGATGCGATGTGAATCTAGTTTAGTGGAGATGATTCAGATGCGAAGTGAATCTAGTTTAGCTGAGAGGATTCAGATGCGATGTGAATCTAGTTTAGCTGAGAGGATTCAGATGTGATGTGAATCTAGTTTAGCTGAGAGGATTCAGATGCGATGTGAATCTAGTTTAGTGGAGATGATTCAGATGCGATGTGAATCTAGTTTAGCTGAGAGGATTCAGATGCGATGTGAATCTAGTTTAGCTGAGAGGATTCAGATGCGATGTGAATCTAGTTTAGTGGAGATGATTCAGATGTGATGTGAATCTAGTTTAGCTGAGAGGATTCAGATGTGATGTGAATCTAGTTTAGCTGACAGGATTCAGATGTGATGTGAATCTAGTTTAGCTGAGAGGATTCAGATGCGATGTGAATCTAGTTTAGCTGAGAGGATTCAGATGCGATGTGAATCTAGTTTAGTGGAGATGATTCAGATGCGATGTGAATCTAGTTTAGTGGAGATGATTCAGTTGCGATGTGAATCTAGTTTAGCTGAGATGATTCAGTTGCGATGTGAATCTAGTTTAGCTGAGAGGATTCAGATGCGATGTGAATCTAGTTTAGTGGAGATGATTCAGATGCGATGTGAATCTAGTTTAGCTGAGAGGATTCAGATGCGATGTGAATCTAGTTTAGCTGAGAGGATTCAGATGCGATGTGAATCTAGTTTAGCTGAGAGGATTCAGATGCGATGTGAATCTAGTTTAGTGGAGATGATTCAGATGCGAAGTGAATCTAGTTTAGCTGAGAGGATTCAGATGCGATGTGAATCTAGTTTAGCTGAGAGGATTCAGATGCGATATGAATCTAGTTTGCATGAAATCGTTTCACAATTGTAACAAAGTTAAAATGCATTATAATATTTCAGATGCATCTAAAAGTGGTTGTTTGTCATGTGTTTTAATGCATTATACTTTCTAAAGGTGTGATTAGTGAATAGATAAGTATTATAGCTGATTATTAATGTGATCATGCAATGCCAAATAAGGTGCATTACATGGCATAATAAATGCATTAAAAATATTTAGTTAAGCTTTTTCACAATAAAGAACCTTTTTTGCATGTTAAATGTTCTTAAAGGGGTACCTTAGGGTTTAGCATTAAGCTTTGTATTAGTAGAAAACCTGTAGTATTTTCGAATCACCCTCATATCCCCTGAGACGAGAGATTTCTGTATTTTTTGTCTGGAAAAAATCCTCCGATGATGCAAAATTCGTAATTTTGTGTCATCGGAGGATGCGTGCATTTTCTGTAAAGCTGCTTGGAAGCGCTATTCAAATAAATGTGAATTGAATGTGAACATGCATTTAATAAAATGTGTGTGTGTGTGTGTCTCTAAGTGTGTTCCTCAAATCCTCGTTGTGCTTCTCTTCAGATTGCTCTCCAGCAGAGCAGAGTCAGTGTTTTCAGCGCTGCCGAACTGCACAGGAACGCTTTCTAGACTAGAGACACTGATGCATGTAGGGATTGAATCCCCAAGACAAAAGCCTCTCTGAGTGTTTCAACATGTGTTTGTTTTCTGCAGCTCCGTCGGCTGTTTCTCTCTGTAGCTTCACCACGCCTGACATTATGCAAGGAACTAAATTCATGCATATTTTACAAGCCAACAGACCAGTCCAATGCAAACCACTCGTTAATTCTCTCATTCAGAAAGTTCCCACGATGCACAGTGATGCATGTGGCCGCCGACGCGTCACATCGGGACTACTGTGTGTGTGAAAGGCCAGGCCGCTATTGCACATCTGGAACAGCTGCTGAAATGTGCATCAACACACGCGGATGCCTTTCCCGTCACGTCAGGATCTGTTAGCGTTCACGGCAGCACCTTACTTAGTTACAAACGCTTCGGCTCGAGATGGAAACAGTCCGTGCGGAGGAATGCCACGCTCAGATTAGAAGTGTACAATAAAACAATGCCACTTTAAAAGCTCGGCCTCTGTGTTTGTCATGTGGGGTTTGTTATGTAAAACACGTGGTTAACCAGTGCTTAAAGTTTCAGTCGAGGCACATTTAACCTCCTCTTGACCAGTGCATCTGCATCTGTGTTGCTCAACATGCAACTATGTAAGTAATTGAAAACAGCTCGCAGACATTCTGCAGTGCATCTGAGCTGCAACAAATATGCATGTGCATGTGTGATGATGACAATTGATTTGGGCGGCATGCTGACTTACATTGTTCCTCCATGGAGGCTTGTTTTCGGCTGTTGCTTTCAGGCTGGGAGTCGATGACGGGGTCCAGAGCGGGGATCTCACTGTGGACGATGGCTCTTTTGGATGAATGCAGGTTGTGGAAGACGGGACGTGCGGAAACGAGGCTCAGGAGCAACAAACACGTGGCTAGAATGTCCCATAACTTCATTTTAGACTCAGTTCCTTTGAGGGAAGCTGCAACAGTGCAAAGGTAAACGCATGAGTGTCTGCACAAGAACACAAAACGCTGCATGCAAATGCTAAAGGGAGAGGTTTTGCATGTGTTTATTTGATGGATATGGAGCAACTGAACAGTTGAGAATTTAATTAGACAGGGTTGTAAGTTGTGAAAAGTGCGAAAAATTAAATATTGTGATGATGGCCCTGCGTGAAATGTGTTCTGTAGGCTGGAGCCCAGTTAATGCCAAACAGATTTCTGTCAATATTGCAGGGCTGAAAAAATGTGCGTTTTCTGCCAGAGTTTTTCCCCATTCCGGATCCCGAAACCCCTGTTGATGAAAAGCCACATAAAATCTACCAGTTTCAATGATGTTTACTATGACTTTTATAGCAGTAAATGGCGCTTTACTCTAAATAGCTCCGTTTGTTGATCATTAAAACCTGCTGGTTCTATTTAATCATATTATCTCAAGCTTTTATATATTATATATGCCATAAAATGAGGTGGTTTAGATATTTAATGCATCATAGACGATCACAACCACCAGAAATTGTTTCATTTCAAGTATTTAAACGGCTAAATGTAGTCTATTAAAATGCATTGCTCATTTTTAGACTCCAGTGTAAACAAACTCTCACTGATTTCTCCACATTATTTACTGTGGATTTATTTTATTGAAGTTCAAAAGTTATTGTATATATATAGACTATCCCACTATATACTGTACGTTTTACAGTGCACTCTTGAAAAATAAAATATAGACGTTTTAAAGGACATCAGGAGACCCACTTTAGGTGCTTCATAAAACCCACAATAAAAATAACCCATAATGGAAAAAAAAAGTAAAAAAAAATACATTCATAAGAACAAAAGTGTACCGATTATTTACTGTAAAATGAATTTGTGATTTGTGCCCATATGCAGAGATAATGATATAAACTCACCTTAAATGGGGTCCATACAGACCAGAGCTTCGGAAAAGCCCAATTCTCAGAGCAAACCGGGAAACATTTAAAGATCCAAAAGATAAAATCCGTGAGTTATCCTCAAAAATAGGACGATTCCCGGTCCATTCACAACATGTTATCCACTAGATCCAAACGAAGCGCGCGCTGAAGTGTCCAGATCTCCAGTGTCCTCAAACTGACGCGCGCGCCGCTCAACTCACTGCGCGCAACGCCACGCGACGCGCGAGACTGTGATGCTGCCGCGCGCCGCGTCTGTACGAGAGAAACCCAGCAGCAGCAGCGCGTCAGAAGAAGACATCGGGATGAGGATCCCGACTAACTGGAATAGTTTCCCGCGTCTGGTAAAACGCGCCGCATTCTGCCTCCGAAACGCACCGCACAGGTGATGAAATCCAGGTGAAGGCTTGTTAATATCCACACAGATCAGGGGAAAGCGAAGAACAAGTGATATCTGTCAGCGCACGGCAGGCATGATCCACACGCGCGTCCCTGTAAACGCGTTTGACGCGCGCACTGAGCTGTGAGCGCGTTTAAATACGCTCACGGGTTCGAGTGCGCTGACGTCACTCCCTGGCCACGCCCTCCGTTTTCAACTCCGATCAGCAGCAGCACGGATCTCGCTGCACACTCATACAGCTGCAATACAAAATGAGAGAATTCAATAAGTGTCATTGTTACATACATTACACTCTAAATAATAACTCTAATCCAGCCATTTGGTTACATTTTAAATTACATTTTTAACCCAGTGTTTGAGTTTGTCCAAATTCGACCCAAAATTGGTTTAAAACAACCCAGCCTTTTTTGGAGTGTATGTTACACTGGTAATAACTGTAAATTATGCATAATTACGTGCAACCAACCCTCAACCAAACCATAACCCTATAGTAAGTACATGTAGTTAATTATTATTATTACTCAGTACTAAAATATATAATTACACTGTAACAAAGACACCTTAATAATTAACTGCATGTACGTACTTTAGGGTTAGGATTAGGGTTAGTTGCATGTAATTATGCATCATTTATAGTTATTAGTGTAACCCAATATCATCTGTCATTGCACTAAATACAGTATCTAACATCATGAGTGTATTACTTATCCAAAAGCTCTAAATAGTCTAATAAAACAAGGGATATTTAGAGGAAAGCATCATAAATATGTATCTTTCAATATTACCACAGTATTCTTTGTGCTATAAACCCCATGGCATTGATCTGGTGTGTGTTTGTGTGTGTTAAAAACATCTTTACTAAAGACGTGCTCTGAATTCAGTCTGAAAATTGAGATCGTCTAAACATAACCTTATCCTCAACATTTAGAATTCTGATTACAATCATTTTAAAATCATGTTGTTGTTGTTTTTGTTTTTTGTTTTGGGCAAATACAGAAGTGACTTACAATTGAGAAGTACAACAAACTGATTAATCCTAAAACTGAGGATCTTAGTTTTGCAGAGAAATATTGCTCTACGAAATGCAAATGTGATAGATTGATGCCGACATGCATTGCACAGACTTTTTTCACTAAAAAAGCAATGCAAATAAATAAACGAGTGAGCGCAGATATGAGTGCTTTGTGTATAGAGCGTGAGGAGGAGGAGGAGGAGGAGGGTTCCCCAGCTGAGCCTTCGTCCCTCCCAGGATTCCTGCTCAAATAGTCATGGTCTCTCTCGCTACTGTCATCTTTGGCTTCCCTCAGGGAGTTTGTGAGGCTCTATTCAGTAAAGCTGGTCGGAACAATTGGCATTGTGAAGAGCACTATACAAACAAATTGAATTTGTAAAAGAAACTGAATTGAATTAAAGCTGCGTGGCATTATAAGTGAAGGTCTCCAAACATCCTGAGTCTGAAAGCACATGTACATTTCAATTAGAGTGAAACATGAAGACGTGGATGTTGGAGAAGTAATGCGTATTAAACCTTTTTTTTATTTGTAGTATACAAGCTCATGCCATCAATTTACTCTCTTTTTATTGATTTTTTTTTTATATATTTAGTCACTGCATGATGTTCATGTTGTTTTCAAGATGTCAAGATGCTTAAGTAAAATACTGAGTAAGAACACGTTTTTTTTGCAACTCTAAAAAATGCTGGGTTGTTTTAACCCAACTTTGGGTCAAATATGGACGAACCCAAACATTGGATTAAAAATGTCATTCAAAAATGTAACCCAATGGTTGGGTTTGTCCATATTTGACCCAAAGTTGGGTTAAAACAACCCTGCATTTTTTTTAGAGTGTATTAAAATGAATAGCAAAAACTGATAAAAAAGGGATTAAACACAATAAAACTTTTTTTTTTTCCCCTCATGTTTTCTAGTCCTGTGCATTCAGACAGGTATTGTGAAGGTAAAAGCACTGGTTGTCATTATGATTTCCTAAAGAAATCTGTCATAAGGGCCAAACCCTTAAACTCAACACTGTTATCCTGCGAGGCGAGACACGGCATGTTCTCTTTCAATAGGCATTAAGGTGAATATTCAGAAGTTGGACGGGTCTATAAAGCGTGTTTGCTTCTGTTGAGCGTTTTTATAATGTTGGCATGATGTTTTTATGCTCTTTCCATCAGCGGGTTTGTCATGATGTGTTTAATTGTAGGGGTGTAAGGATTCCCTCATGTCACGATTCGATACATATCACGATTATTAGTGCGATATGATAAAAGGTTAACAAACATGTGCTGTTGATTAAAATTACTTTGTGTGTGTAAATGAATAGAGTTGGACTTCTGGAAACCCAATACAGGACAATAGAGACTCCAGAATAACAATATTCATGATTCGGAAGATGAAAATACTGAATTATTATAGACGAATATTGTTGCATTCTTTCACTGGCCAGATATATTTGAAATGATGTCGGACACTTTTTACTGATAGCAAGACATTTGGCATTATCAGGACACACAAATATCCCCCCATTGCATTATTATACACTATATCCAGCATTATATATAGTAGTTTAATGTAGTACTGGCACTAAAACTCGAATTTGAAAACGTACACAATTATACACAATACATATTGATGCATTTTTGTATTGTGACAGCCTTAGTTAATTCTAATGAGTAAAGTGTTTGACTGTAGTGCAGTCATAAACATGTTGCACTAAATAGACAACAGATCAGGCGTTCAGAGCATGCTGGGAAAACTTCAACTGAAAACAAACTCCACTATCTGTCAGGGAAATGTGCACGAATGTGTTCAGGCCAGCGCACAGATGCTGTGGAAGTGTTGGTGGAGTATCCGGTGTTCTTCAGCTGTGACTCCCGTCGTCCCGTAGTGAAGTCCGATCTCCTGCTCCTACATTTAGACATGTGCATGTGGTTATATTTAAGCAATTTTGTCATAATTGGCCGTAAGCCCAGTGCTTCTGCTTTAGGTTCTTCATTGATCCATGTTCTCACTCCGCGAGTCTGTCTTTCACAGCGTTGACAATCACGTATTGACTGCGAGTTCGACTCTTGGAGGTGCAAATGGCTCTAATAAATCTAATATTGTAGCGTTTATAATAAATTATTTATTGGTGCAGATCATTATTGTTTTAAAATGATGTGCCTCGTAATCTTTAATCTATTCTCTGATGACGTGGGCGGGGCCACCTGTCACTCACATGAGATCCACCAATAGCAAACCACAACTATCCACTCAATTCCCCACAGACTAAATCAAGCCCCGCCCACATTTGTTTTTGTTCCAGAAGCGTTTCACTCAATATACGGCACAATAGCAAAGAAAACACTAGCACAACTTCCATTTCGTTATGACTTCAGAGGGCTGTTTACACACCATTTTCAACTAAAAACGTAAAAATGTTACGTTTTGGCCATTCGTTTACACGACAATGGCGGTTTTTTCAAAGTGCTTGAAAATGCAAAGTTTTGAAAACGGTCTCTGTGTAAACAACAAAAACACAAATCTCTGAAGACGATGACGTCATGCACATGCGTATTACATGTTCAGTCTATAGTGTTTAATCGCCATCTACTGGCCTGGCAGCAGAGTTTTTATTCACTTTCGTGGATCTGTGTGAATGGAGAACGTTTTCACAATGGTGTCGCCTGTATGCGAAAAACTCGAAGGAAAAACTTCTCTGTATTAAGCATAGAGTTTCATCATGAATCAATCGTTCATTTATATTAGCGCCATTATAAGGGTTTTAAAGGGTAATTCCACTGGTGGAGACATGAATATGTATTGAAAGTGGGTCATATATGTAGTAGAATAGTATCATACATTTCTAATTTGGGTCCTTCTTGGCCGATAAAAGGCAGAAAATGACTTTTTAGAGTTTGTGGATTGTGGACAACAATTCCCATAGTGCATTGCAATGCTCATCCCTGCAGGCCACTCCCACTACTCTGCCCATCACTGTAGACTAGAGTTGAGCTCCACTCTACGCTACCGCCTGGAAATCATTTCGCACTGAAATCAGATAATGCGCGCTAATATAATATTACGACGTAAGAGCGTCAAGGGGTTATCAGCCAATGGATTGGTGTGATTCTATACGGGCTTCAGACAATCGCCACACTTGTTCTGACGCGTAATTTTACACGTGAAATACAGCCAAACCTTGGAGCGTTTTGTCTTCGGCATCTTCATTCGCTATCAGACGTCCCGGGAGTCTCCCTCGAATTAGTTCAAATCTCCCGGAGTAGAGCGAGTGAGCGAGAGCGCGCATGCGAGACAGACCGTATATAGGGCGCGCACGAGGGAGAGGGAGAGAGCGAGAGACTTTGTGTGTGTGCGCTTCATGACACAGAGTCTCAGGCACCGACATTTTCATTCTTATTGGGTTTGGTTATTACCGTTTACGTCGGAACTGGTTCCCTATTGGCGCCGCGTTTCGGTACCCAACCCTATCCATAATGCATCCGTCTGTGTATTCAGTGCCTTCGTCCTTATTTTCAAAAATTTCTGCCGGTAAAATCAAACGCACTGGCACTGATCTGTGATTGGTCTGTTAGCGCATTAGACCCAACCCCCTATGGGCGGGTCTGAAAGGGTGCACTTCCTCCTGCAATGACGTAAAATGACGAGTTTTGCGTCATTGTTGGAGGAAGTGAAAAGGGTAAATGGCGGATTTCTCTCGTCTCAGGGGAAAATGAGAGAGTGTTGCGCGACCATTCAATAGTGTAACTGGATTTCTAACAATGGAAATCTTAATGCAAATGGGTGGAGAGTTAATCAAAATGTAGTTTTGGAATTTTTCTGAAAATTGGTCTTAAATATCTTTAGTTTCTATTTAAAATTGTAATAACTTGTGTATAGTTTTTGCCAAGGAAGCTGGCATGGCATTCAAAACAAAAATAACACTTGAGTAAACGGATTATAAACGTATATTATGAGCAATACATTTGTTACAGTATTTATTTATCGTTGTAATAAAACAAGTGTACAACTGTTAGTTTATGTTAGCCCAGGTCCATTAAATAATATTATCAGATACAACTTTTAATTTGAATATTTCTTTTAGTAAATAATTAATAAGCTAAGATTAGTAAACATTTAGAAGTAACTAATCAATCCTGCATTTGTTGCATCCAACGCTCAGTTTTTGAAACACATAATCTGTTGCGAAACTTATGCAGGCACAGTAGAGTTTTAATCAAATTAAAGCAGGCCTATCCTATTTTGCTCACTGTTTGTGCTGTGTATTTTTATGCGTAATCATTATTTCAGCCAGTAGCATGCAGGTGCATAAGCAAAGGAGCAGCTCACTTAGTTTTGGAAGCGAGTTGCAAAGTGTCAAACTGGTTGATGACGGTGTGGAAACATGCGTGAGTAATCAGAGATCTCTGCTTGAATGAAATGCTCAGGATAATGAAATTACAGGCCTATGGGTGCAGGGAACAAAGATCAGAGTGCCACAGTGTGAGATGGGTGTTTCCCTGATCGAGACAAGCTGTGATCACCACAACTCCCTTCAGTAAACAATTAGATAAAATAAATGTTATTTCTAGAACGATAACATCTGCCGTGTTGGTGAGGAACCAAAGTACACACTGACGATGACCCAGTAACAACGTGTTTGCATGCATAATTGCAAGGTCTTTTGAATAACGCATGTGAATCGAACAATAGCCTACAGAGTCACGTGAGCTTTTTATTGCACATTTCATTAGATGTGTTTGTCCACTTCTGCAAACGCTTGGACACATGATAATGGTGGTCTATTAAATATTATTTTGGTCTGGTCAGTTTTGAGATTTGTTGTGCTTTTCATAATGTTTTGCGCCAAACTATCTATTTACGACTGTAGATTTCAATGACAATACATATCTTTAATGAGTTTTTATCTCCACTTTAGTATCACTTATATACACCAAAATTTACAGATTTTTTCCTGTATATATTCTGAAGGTTTTTACTGAGGGGTTTGTTGATATATCGTTCAGCTGATGTGGCATCAGTTGGGATTGTTTGCAAACGCTTGTGATATTGGTGGTCCAATAGAAATACTGGGTCACAACACAGAACCGCCTCACAAGTTTTTAATGGAAAGCCCTGATGTTAAATGCATGTCATTAAATGCATTTAACCAACCAAATGTGCAACTTTATGCATCTTATCATACGTTATTTTTGATCACATATGGTGCTGGATGAATTACATGCTTAAGTGCACTTTATTTATTTGTGTCTATAGATTTCACTGACAATACATATCTTTAAAGAGTTTTTATCTCCACTTTAGTATCACTTATATACACCAAAACTTACAGATTTTTTCCTGTATATATTCTGAAGATTTTTACTGAGGGGTTTGTTCATATATCGTTCAGCTGATGTGGCATCAGTTGGGATTGTTTGCAAACGCTTGTGATATTGGTGGTCCAATAGAAATACTGGGTCACAACACAAAACCGCCTCACAAGTTTTTGATGGAAAGCCCTGATGTCATAAAATGCATTTAACCAACCAAATGTACAACTTTATGCATCTTATCATACGCCATTTTTGGTCACAAATGGTGCTGGATGAATTGCATGCTTAAGTGCACTTTATTTATTTGTGTCTATAGATTTCACTGACAATACATAATTTTAAAGAGTTTTTTATCCACTTCAGTGACACTTACAAACACCAAAATTTAGATGTTAATTCCTGTGTACATTCTGAAGGTTTTTACAGAGGGGATTATTCATATATAATCCGGCTGATTTTGTACAATGTTTTATTCATGAAAACATGATGGGGGAAAAAAAAATTTGTTCTCCACTTCAGTATCACTTACATGCACCAAATCTTACAGTTTTATTCCTATCTATAATCTGAACATTTTTACTGAGGGGGTTCTTTATATAGTATATTTCTCCTGATTTATAAACATTGTATTACTAAAAACATGGTAAAAGTGTATTTTTTTCTGTCGGTTGACAGTATTTTCAGATTTATGTAGTGATAAAAAGACATAGCCAAAATTCCCTCTGTAAAAATATTTAACTCTGATATGTCAACAAAATGAAACAAGAATTTTAAACCTGGCTTCATCCAATGTTCAGATTTATGTTCTGGAAATGTATGCAAGTAGTGCATATTCTATTAACCTTATTTACATATCTAAATATTTATGACGTTAACATAACTTTTTAAACAAAATTGGGCAATTCAATCAGTCAACCATTACTTTGTAATAATTTGTGATATTTCCGTCAAATATTTCAAATTTCAGAGTAAAAATAGTTTCTAAATATAACCAAACTTGGTTTTAGAGGTTTGATCAAATGATTATAAGTGTGATTATGAAACAGACCTTGCATGAGGTGTGGATGACACTATTAAACAGGTTACTTTTGGATGCACTGATTTTGACCTCTAACAGTGTTTTCCACAATATTCCACTGAACAAAAGTTGCGTTATCGTGTCAGTGGGAACATACTGCAGGTAAACACACTTTGTTTACTAGATAAAAGCTGTTATCTAATATAAGTTGACATGTTACCTGCTCCGTCGCACTTCTTTCCCGCTCTCTTTGCCGGATCTGATCAGCTCCACCTGTGTTACCTGTGGAGAAAATGATGTCATGTGTTTGGTGTGTTACTATCATGGCATGTGTAAAATGTCAGTGGCCGTTGTGTCAGATATTCGCTGGGTGTGCTGGTTCAGGTGATAAATGCAGATAAGAAATGTATAAAGTTAAAGAGCAGAGATATGTTTGGACTTTCATCACCATAGAAGGACGGCACTCAGGGTTGTGTGTTAAATTAATGACAGTCTTCCTTTCTATTTTTACCGCAGAAGTCCAAAAGCCACACTGTAAAAAATATTGATGGTTTAACTTAAAAAAGTAAGTAACCTGGGTTGCCTTAAAATTTTAAGTTCATTGAACTGGAAAAAGTGAGTTAATACAATGAAGGAGATTAATTTAACCATTAGAAACTCAAAAATGTTATATGTTATCTGAATTAAATAAATTATTTAAGTTGATTTGACAAAAGAAAAAATGTTGTGATTACTACACTGTAAAAAAATATTGTTGGTTTAACTTAAAAAAGTAAGTAACCTGGGTTGCCTTAAAATTTTAAGTTGATTGAACTGCAAAAAGTGAGTTAATACAATGAAGGAGATTAATTTAACCATCAGAAACTCAAAAATGTTATGTTATCTGAACTAAATAAATTATTTAAGTTGATTTGACAAAAGAAAAAATGTTGTGATTACTACACTGTAAAAAAATATTGTTGGTTTAACTTAAAAAAGTAAGTAACCTGGGTTGCCTTAAAATTTTAAGTTGATTGAACTGCAAAAAGTGAGTTAATACAATGAAGTAGATTAATTTAACCATCAGAAACTCAAAATAATAAGTTATCTCAACTAAATAAATTATTATAAAGTTGATTTGACAAAAGAAAATATGTTGTGATAACAAATCTTGAAAATATTTTTTTACAGTGTGCAGTGCAATGAAAGGTCTGTCAGCTGATGATGAAAGAGTCTCTTCTAGAACGAAGCGGTTCATGTGAAATCGAGTCAATATTGTTACCCAGAGGAAAATGTCATTGCCCTGCTCTTTCCCTGGAGATTTAATGAGTTATGAGTCACTGAAGTATCAACTTTGTCTCTGATGTTTCCTGAAATAGACAAATGAGTCAATAGTTCTTATTGATCTATTAAATAAATGTGGAGCAGATGATGATTTCAGATGATTTGATGAGAAATATCTGAGATTTCGAGACTTTATCGTCTGGATCTCTTGTGAAACTCTAGATGAGGCCGATGATCTTACTCTCGGGAGTCATTTCATGTACTTTTAATCTCAATGTTGATAGATATATGAGATCTCACTCGTGATGTCTTTTAGTTCTTACAGGTTGTTTTGACCTGAATGCAGCGCTGAGAAAGTGTTGCAGATGACTTGATCTCTCTGATTGTTTTTTTTGTGTGCAAAAACAATTTAGATTTTTTTGCAACTTGATCCAAAAAACTTTACGCTTCTGATTTTTTTTTCATGATAAAATAGATTGTCTCCTATATTTTATATATATTAATGAGATCCCATTTGTAATTGATTTTCTTTCTTACAGGCTGTTTTGACCGTAATGCATGGAAAAAGCTCTTTTGTTTGATTTGTGGTGTTTTGCTTGTTGGCAACTCCTCCTCCTGCTGTAAAATCTGATCAGTTGACTTAACTCAGAAAAACTGAGGAAACCTATTGCCTCGGAATGATTACGTAAATAAACTCAAATAAATTAAGTAATGTGGAATTGTCAAGTTCACATTACTTAATTTTTTCAATTAAGCGTTACATTTATTTACTTAATAATTTTAATTCAATTTTTTGAAGTGGAAGTGAACTGAACCCTTTTTACACAGAGTAGATCAGCGTTGGTGGATGTCCAGCACACCGAATGCTTACCGGAGTCGTGATGTCCAGTGGCCTGCATAACCAATCTGGGAATGACGCAGGGCGTTTGAGGGAGCAGCTCCCAAGCGTTTCATTCCTGTCGGTGTGTTTGCACAGGACAGGCGTAAGTGCTGTTTCACAGGCCCTGTGCGGTCAGGATAAGCCCTGGACAGCATCTCTGCGGTCAGGCCTGAGTGTGTTTGCAACCCTTTCTGACTGCGCCAGACGTGAACTCATAGCATGCCAGCGCTGTGTTCTGGTACCTGTGAGCTTTGAGCTCCAGCAGCTGCTGGTCATGACGGCTCTCTGACATGTGCTGACATTCCTCATTACTGCTGCTGTACTGCACTTTGACAGAATCTTCACCATTAATGCATTTTTTCAAAATAACTTTTTGAATGTTTTTTTTGTGTGTGTGTGTGTGTGTGTGTGTGTGCAATCATTTTGCATATTTTTTTTTTTTTGCAATTAAAGGAGAATTCTGGCACAAAATGAACCTTGGGTCTAATAAAACATCGGTAGTCAATCATTCTCTGAGATTTGTTTGCATGATAATCGAATGTAAAGAGTTTGATCTCTAAAACGGTTTAGCGTATACGCTAGTATATGGGGGCATTGACTAAAGAAATCGCTAGTTTATACCACTAACAAAGCTCAAAATAGCCCCACACTAACACAGTAACTTAATGAGGCTCCATACATGCAGACCGAAGCATTGAGAACTTTGTAAGTGTACAGACCGTTTAATAAGAAGATACTTTATGAAGACAGTTCACTTCGTGTATACAGACAGGAGCCATCTTTGGAAAACAGTCTCGACCAGTCGAACACGAACGTCGTGCTGAGTGATCTGAACTGTATGAAGTTCAGCGAACTTCTGAACTGTATGAACGGCGTTCGGGGATCGACTTATCGAGAGTCGAAACTTGATTTTTTTTATTTTTGCAAATAAGTTGATCTTTTTTTAAATAACTTAATCTTTTTGTAATTTTTTTGTAATTATAATTTTTTTTAAATAGCATGATAGTTTAGAAATTTTTGCTAATGACTGATGTTTTTTTGCAAATAGCATCATTTTAATTTTTTTGCAAATAACTTGATCTTTTTGCATTTTTTGTAAATTATTCATTTTTTGCAAATAACCTGATAGTTTGGAGTTTTTGCACACAACTTGATCTTTTTGAATTTACATAGATTATTTTTTTTTGCACAGATTGGTTTTACACAATCAATCTGTTTTGCAGTACTTAAAACTGTTGTTTTCTCTTGCAAATCATTGTTCACTGTTTTTGCAAATAACTTGATCTTTTTAAATTCACAAAGATTGAATTTCTCACACAGATTGGTTTTACGTGGTCAATCTGTTTTGCAGTTCCTAAAACTGTTGTATTTGCTTGCAAATAATCACCGTTAACAGGTTTGCAGTGCTTTTGGCCGTATTTCGGCTGAAGAAAAAAACATGTCCAAGGTGTAAGCACAGAAAAATGGGTGCAAGAGGAATACAGATCATATTTATTTTGCATTTGCATGAAGCTGCAGTTTCACAATTCATGAATAACCTTTACGAATAACAGTACAATGTTGAATATAATCTTTTTTTTTCTTATACGTCTGAAACGTGATACAGCTTTACAAAACTTCTCCTGCGCATGCATCCATGGAATTGAGTCTGAGACGCACGGCAACAGTTGCTAAGGTAAGATTAGAATCTTCATACCTTTGTGCTTCTAAATGGAATTCTAACACATGATCCTGCTTTGATGTCTTTCTGATTTAATCCACACAATATTTGGCCTCGGTTTGATTGATATCACCATTTGTTAAGTGAGGTGTTGTAGAAATACACCATTTGTTTTGCTGAGAAACCAAAGATGAACAAGAACAAACTGAAACTAGACCAACGCAGTTGTTCATTTTGGCTTATACATAAACAATTACATTAAATTCAGCATCTTATATATTCAAACTATGATCTCTACAAGTCCAGATTCAGTCCGATGTTTGACGTTCTCATCGTCCTTGGTTTCTCATGGGCTGTTCATATTTCCTGAGTGCTATTTTGATGCTAACCTCTAGCATTCAGCATGGCCACGTTAAAAGCGTGGTGCACACGGTCTGTGTCTTGACTTACATGTAACAAGGTTGCACTAATTGGAGGAGGAAGTGCCGGGGATGTTTAGCGCTGACGGGGCTTGAGGACCAGGACTTGATCCGAGCCTGAATTTGGATCCTGTTGCGGCCTCCTATTCCTCCAGTTAATCCGGCAGCGGCTGCAGGGAAGTAAGCGTTCATTTGACCGCAGAAAAACGAGTTGGCAGCACCTGCAAAAGGAGGATCAAAGGGCCCAGAGTTAAGCCACCCACTGGATCCGTGTCACACTATATCCTCGGGATACTGTGTCCATCTCAGTGGCCACAGCAGCTGGTCAGATGGACACCAGTGGATCATGTTTGGCTGTGAGATCCTCTCGGAAATCAAGGCTTCTCAAGGTCAGAGATGGTTCTAGATGGGCGTTGCAGTGTTCTCATACCTCCAATTTGTCAGGAGATATTCAAGATAACATGCCTTAATGTGATGCCATATTAGTCTGATATAAGATTTGAAAAAACCCTATAACTCTAAGTATTAAAGGGTTAGTTCAACCCATGATTTACTCACCCTGAAGTCATCCTAGGTGTATGACATTCTTTCAGACGAACAAAATCAGAGTTATATTAAAAAATTTCCTGGTTCTTCCAACCTTTATAATGGCAGTGAATGACAGTTTCTATTTTGGATCTATCCAGCATCTATACATCATAAATGTGCATCTATCCATCATAAAAGTGCATCTATCCATCATAAAAGTGCATCTATCCATCATAAAATTGCATTTATCCATCATAAAAGTGCATCTGTCCATCATAAAAGTGCATCAGTCCATCATAAAGTGCATCTGTCCATCATAAAAGTGCATCTGTCCATCATAAAAGTGCATCTACCATCATAAAAGTGCATCTATCCATCATAAAAGTGCATCTGTCCATCATAAAAGTGCATCTACCATCATAAAAGTGCATCTGTCCATCATAAAAGTGCATCTGTCCATCATAAAAGTGCATCTGTCCATTATAAAAGTGAATTTATTCCTCATAAAAGTGCATCTATCCATCATAAAAGTGCATCTGTCCATTATAAAAGTGAATTTATTCATCATAAAAGTGCATCTATCCATCATAAAAGTGCATCGATCCATCATAAAAGTGCATCTATCCATCATTGAAGTGCATCTATCCATGATTAAAGTGCATCTGTCCATCATAAAAGTGCATCTATCCATTTTAAAATCATGTAGTGTGAACTAGGCTTTACTAGCTTGACTGTAGCCTATCCTAAATTCCCTCTGTGGTGAGAATCCAGCGTTTAATGTTGTTTATGTGTGTATGTGGTTTTTTAATACGCTTTAAGACACACACCATGTGTAAGTTCATATACCAAAGTCTCAAAAACACGCTTTGAAATCGATGGTGTTTCTGAAGTCACAAACGACCTTGTAACCAATCAGATCAGCGTGTGATCGTCAACCAGTGGATCTCTGAGTGAGTGAGTGGAGGGAGGCGGGGCTCATTTGCATATTCTTAGAACCGCGCATTCTAAATGAGGCGAGGGTGTCGAGTTACATTCAAGATATTTTATGGCATGACGAATATTTTTTCAAAGAAAAACATTTAAATGTCATTTTTAGAGATCAAAGAAGAGTTTTAAAGGAGACAACGATTGGGCTTTGACTACAGTAGCTTGTCAAACCCGCACGCTGATGATTTCTTCAGAAAGTGTTTTCTCGTCACGTGCTGCAGTTTTGGTGCCTGAGGTCTTGTAAACGCCGTCAGGTTGAGGTGTAGTTCAGTGTATCAGTGACACAGTGTGTAAAGGTGCAGTGAAGCGCTCGTGTCTATCTGTGTTGTAGCGTATAAATCAGCAGCAGATCCTCCTCTCTGAAAGCAGCATCAAAGCGATCGCAACCACAGACCGTCATAAAGCCGTCCATCACTCGCTGGCCAGCAGATGTTCTGGAAGATATCCATTACCTCACTGTTATTCTACCTCTACAACACAATGAATTACTGATCATCGAGACTGCATAATTTAAAAATAGCGCCGCAATTAGGCTAAATATGAACGGTATGTGAGATAACTTTGGCTGGACCAGAGGTTAATGATTACCTACTGTTTGTTTTTATTTTTGTAGGAAAGGAACATTTGAGTTCTCATAGGCTACATTGCAAAATATGCTTTTCGTACTTGGTAATTTTGTCTTGTTTCCAGTCCAAATATCAAAAAATTCTTAAATCAAGATGCATTTAGGCCGTAAGATATTATGACTTGTTTTCTGGGGAAATAAATCAAAATTACGTTAGTTTAAAAAAAGGCAAAATGATCTGCCAAATCATTGGTAGATCGTTCAGCTTTTTTAAAGCAACAACTAGAAAACGAGATATAATATTTTATGGCATTTTAAATACATATGATTTAATAATGTTTTGATATTCGGACTGGAAACAATATGAAAAGCATTTTTTGTGCAGTGTATGAGAGCTATAAAAAACAAAAACATAAACAAACAAAAAACAAACAGTAATAATTAACCTCTTTTTTTGTTTTTGATTTTTTGATATTCTGACAGGAAACAAGACAAAAATACTAGGCTACATAATAAAAGCATTTTTTGCAGCGCATTACTAAAGTTTTAGCTTTTAGAGCCATGTTTCAATGCCTTTCAATAACATGATCACTCCCTTGAACCTTCATATGATAACGTGATTATAATCCCAAACAAACATCTACCGTTGATAACTCGCTCCAAATGAGCAAAGCAGAGTAATTGAAGTGCCAAGGTCAGCGGAAGTGAGGAATAAAGCCGTTTCCATGTTGGCCGTGTTCCCGTAGCGCTGCTGTGTGGAGATCCAGCGCTGTTTACAGTGCGATCAGATGTGGCTCGCGGCCAGAACCTGCTCGGACTGGACGAATGGACTCGTAATCCTCTTAGACTTAGGTTTGGGTAAATATTTGGACACGCAATTTTACAACCGTTAGTTTAACCCTCGGGTGCTGGCAGTTAAAAATCACTTCTTTTTTTATTTCTGTTTTTTTTTTTTTTGTGTGTGTGTGTGTTCCAAATTTGAGGTTGATCTAAAAAAATATGAAATTCGTCTCCCATTAATTTCCAATGTGCTCGTTTTTGATCGTGACGTGAACAGAACAAGTGACTGTTTTTTTTTTTCAAGACCATTTCACCTTTTCCAATCATGTCTGTGTTCACATAGCAAGCAAGTGCCAAAACGTTTACCAAGTTTCAGACCTTTCCGATAAATTAAACAATATATAAAAAAAAAAAAAAAAAACCAAAAATGACCAAACACCAGAGGGAAAGAATACACACAACACATGGAAAATTCATATGCCTGCTAGATTTTGGGTTGCGGAGAGTTCGGGTTACGGAGAGTTTGTGAGTTATAACGGAAATCATTATGAACATCAGCTATGCTAATTATTTCCCATCTGCCTTTCTGCTGTTATCTCGGGACGCTTGTCCCGAGAAAAATGGCGTTCGTCAGGTCCAGTTTTGTGTCCAGCCTCTCACGGGGATTTCGGATGCCCCAACGCCTGTGATGAGACGACTCAACGCCTGCGATATGTTATGGCGCCGTTTGATTCATAAACAATATTTTTATTTAATATTTATATTTAAACAATATGAATGTAAGCCAGAGGAGAACTGGCCCCCGACTGAGCCTGGGTTCTCCCAAGGTTTTTTCTCCATCCAATCTGATGGAGTTTGGTTCCTTGCCACTGTCGCCTTGCTTTTGGCTTGCTTTGAGCTTGCTCAGTTGGGGTTATTTATTTAGTGTTTAGCAATGTTGTTGATCTGTGTTGTGCTACTTACATGTTATCACTGTGAAGCTGCTTTGATACAATCTGTATTGTGAAAAGCGCTATATAAATAAATGTGACTTGACTTGACTAGATTTTTACATCATGTGCTGCTGTTTTACAAGTGTTAAAACTTAAAATGCTACTGATGTGGAAAAAGTGTTCTTGCTATCCGGTTGCTAGGGTGTGTTCTGAGTTTTTTTTTTTTTTTAGTGTGTTGCTATCTGGGGTGTTTTTTGTGGTTGCGGCTATTAGAGTTACTGTTCTGTGTGGTTGCCAGGGCATTGCTATGTGGTTGCCAGGGATTTGCAATGCAGTTGCTATGCTGTTCCGTGTGGTTGCCAAGGTTTTGCTGTACAATGAGTGTTGTGTTGCCCGGGGATTGCTATACAGTTTCTAAGGTGTTCTGTGTGGTTGCCAGGGTTGTGCTATATGGTTGCCAGGGGATTGCTATGTTGCTAAAGTGTTTATGTGATTACAAAGGTATTGTGTATGGTTGCTAGGGCATCGCTGTTTGGTTACTAGGTTCTTCTGGGTGGTTGCAATGTAGTTGCTATATGGTTGCTAGGGTGTTGCTATTGTCACGACTGACTCAAAGCCGTGGCAAATGAAATGGAGAACACAGTGATTGGGTTGCAAAAAATAAACATTTATTAAGATAAATTTTAAAACATAAAAACAAGAAAACATGGTCATCTGTAATGTCTGTCAGGTGCATGGATGTAAATGTATCAGCCACAGAAAACAAAAATCTAAACCAAATAACAAAAGCCCAACCCAACAGAAAGTAACCCGGAGAAAGACCTCTCCCTACACAAGCCAGCCTAAACTTTTTTAGAGGGATGAACTGGTGAACATCGTTCCCTTGATGAGTCTCCTAGCCACACCCATTAGCCCACCATAGCAAGATGAGTAGAGAGACTCGTCACACTCTCCAGTTTCTAAGGTGTTCTTTGTGGTTGCCAGGGTTGTGTTATATGGTTACAAGGGCATTGCTATGTGGTTGCTAGGGTCTTCTAGGTGGTTATGTGGTTACAAGTATATTGTGTATGGTTGCTAGGGCATTGCTATCTGGTTACTAGGATCTTCTGGGGGGTTGTGAGGTAGTTGCGAGGTTGTATGGTTGCTAGGATGTTGCTATCCAGTTTCTTGGGTGTTCTGTGTGGTTGCTCTGGTATTCCTATGTGGTTGCTTGCGTCTTCTGTGTGGTTGTTAGGTGGTTGTGAGGGTGTTGCTAGGGCATTGATATGTGGTTGCTAGGGTCTTCTGGGTGGTTGTCAGGTTGGTTGCTGTATGGTTGCTAGGAATTTTCTTTCTGTCTGGCATGTGAAGCACATTTAACACTGCAGAATGACACAAATGCTCAACTTTAATACTTCTGACACTATGAGCGGCAGTTCTAGTGATGATTGACTTAAACTCTATTACTCATATGCATTTTAGAATATTTTCTGTGTTTTTCAGTGTTGACTAAGGGGTTACTCTGATCTTTTCTGTTTAGGTGTGTCTTTACCTGGTTGTAGATTAGTTACAGTTGGTTACTGGTAGGGAATCAGTTTTTTGATAGCATATCAAACAGATACTCGTTTCTACGGTAACAAGGGTTTGTAGCATAAGCAGTGACAGAGCTTGATAAACAGGGCAGCGCTGTTGTTTTTATGATTGTTCCAGGGAGGTTATGTGTCGTCGACCCCTTCATTAATTAATCCAAACACACGGTCTGTCCACACACACACACACACATGTGAACTCCACACACTCAACCCACAGCTTTAGACTGTGTGAACCCTGACCCAGGATCAGCTTCCCGCCCATCACTACAGCTTGTTCTGCCTAATACAGATATTTTTGGTTGGGTTGTTCACCAAAGTGATAACGCTCTGTTTATTCATAAACAAATATCCTAATATCATATGATGTCATATTTTGTGTTATCTGTCATCCGAAGAACTGTAAACTTCCCGTATTAAATCAGTGCACGAGCTTAACATTTGATCTTCTCATCGCTGTAATCTAATGCACTGCAAAAACAAAAGATTTTCTTTCTTTATATTATTTCTCTTTTGTCTTCCAGTACAAATCTGTAAATATTCTTAAATTAAGATACGTTTATCCGAGAAGCAAAATGAATCGTATATCATATGTCATAAACACATGCATGAGGATGAATAGGAAGGGTGGAGATGCTGGATGACAGGACTGAATGAGAAATGAATGTATGAAATCCAAATCTTAGAAAATTATGTGACATAATTAATCTGGTTCATTTCCTCTTATTTTTTTATTTTGGCTAGTAGAAGTCCTGAATGACCGATAACTTAAAAATGTATTGGCCAAATCGTCCAATGAGTGAAAAAGTGAGTGAGTGAGTGTGTTCGGTGTGAGAGTGAGTGAGTGAGTGAGTGAGTGTGTGTGTGTGTGTGTGTGTGTGTGTGTGTCTGTGTGTGAGAGAGAGAGAGTGAGTGAGTGTGTGAGAGTGAGTGAGTGAGTGTGTGTGTGTGTGTCTGTGTGTGAGAGAGTGAGTGAGTGAGTGTGTGAGAGTGAGTGAGTGAGTGAGTGAGTGAGTGTGTGTGTGTGAGTGAGTGTGTGTGTCTGTGTGTGAGAGAGAGTGAGTGAGTGAGTGAGTGAGTGAGTGAAAGAGTGAGAGTGAGTGAGTGAGTCTGTATGTGAGAGAGTGAGTGAGTGAGTGAGTGAGTGAGTGAGTGAGTGAAAAGAGTGAGAGTGAGTGAGTGAGTCTGCATGTGAGAGAGTGAGTGAGTGAGTGAGTGAGTGAGTGAGTAAGTGAGTGAAAGAGTGAGAGTGAGTGAGTGAGTCTGCATGTGAGAGAGTGAGTGAGTGAGTGAGTTTGTGTGTGAGTGAGTGTGTGTGTCTGTGTGTGTGAGAGAGAGTGAGTGAGTGAGTGAGTGAGTGAGTGAGTTTGTGTGTGAGTGAGTGTGTGTGTCTGTGTGTGTGAGAGAGAGTGAGTGAGTGAGTGAGTGAGTGAGTGAGTTTGTGTGTGAGTGAGTGTGTGTGTCTGTGTGTGTGAGAGAGAGTGAGTGAGTGAGTGAGTGAGTGAGTGAGTGAAAGAGTGAGAGAGAGTGAGTGAGTGAGTCTGTATGTGAGAGAGTGAGTGAGTGTGGCTATCTGTGTGTGTGTGTGTGTGTGTGTGTGTGTTCGCACCTGTCTGTCCTGTTCTCTCCTGATGGGCGAGTCGTCCGTGTCTCTGTAACGTTACTCTCATCATGTTACGAACACTTGCCGTCTAACGTGCGTCCACAAACAAAACCTGATGCAGAGAGAGATGTAGTTCTCCACACACAGCTGCTGTGAGTGTGTGTGTGTGTGTGTGTGTGACAGCTGTTCAAACTCCAGAAGACGAGACGTCTTCACCTTCGCATCGCTGCACAACAACTGCACACACTCATGCCGACAGAGAAAATGATTGTGTGAAGACGGTGATTGTGTCTTATGTGCCCTTCTACGTCAAAACTTCACAATATTTATAATTATTTGTGAAGTTTATAAGAAACTTATGAGTGGAAATTGTTTCCACACCTTTTTTTCCTGGCCAAGAACACTGAGAAATGACCAAGCATGCTTTATTGCTGTTTCATGTGTAATATAGATGAAGGGACTTGCTGTAAAGTATATGACAGATATGTTCTTCCTCAGTATCTGTCTGTTTTCCAGGTCATCTAAGCGTCCTTAAATCAAGATACATTTGCTGGAAGAGAAAGATATTCAGGTTTGTCTTCTGATAAAAATAAAGTGAGTTTGTGCTTAAAACATTAAGAAGGAATATCTGTCCGAAATATCCACTCAACTCATAGAGAAAATTGATTTTTGGTCAGATATTTGAACCAGATGTTGTTTTCCATTTGAATTAAGATTAAGATTTGAATAAAGGTTGCTTGTTTTAAGCATTTTTACCCTAGAAAACAAGATATAATTTCTTAACCCTAAAACCGTATTCTGGACAAATGGGCAAATTAGTTTTGATTTATTTTTAAAACACACTTCCCTTGATCTGAGCGGCACAAGACTTGGCTACTTTTCCTAAGTTTGCCTCCTGAACACACACACATTTTTTTTGACTCAATTCTACAATGTTAAGTGGGTGAAAATTGACTCCTTAATCTTGTATTTGGGTCAAAGATGGGCACCCATAGAAATGAATGGGAAAAATGGGAGCAACTGTAAAAAAATATTGATGGTTTAACTTAAAGTAAGTAACCTGGTTGCCTTAAAATTTTAAGTTGATTGAACTGGAAAAAGTGAGTTAATACAATGAAGGAGATTAATTTAACCATCAGAAACTCAAAATAATAAGTTATCTCAACTAAATAAATTATTATAAAGTTGATTTGACAGTGTAAAATAAGCCAAAATAAGACACCAGATGACAGCAAAGTCACTTCATCTTTAGGTTTAAGCTCTAAGAACTTATGGGAATGATATTTTAATGTAGTTAAAAAATTGTAAAAAAATAAAACATAAAAATAAGCTTAATTTACATAGAAAATAGGATACTTTTTGAAGTAAATAAATTCAAAAATACCCCCAAAATAAATAAAAACACCATAAATGGATAGACAAAACTTTATCGAAGACAGTGATATAACATTTATAATAAATAAAAATTAGGATCACACCTGAGTCCTCTGTGCCCATATTTATCCACAATTACAGGATTAAGGGCTATAAAGTGAATACGGTTTGAGGGCTTCGTAATTTTAAATGCTTCTTGATTTAAGAAGTTTAAGATATTTGGATTGGAAACAAGACAAATTACTACACTGTAAAAAAATATTGTTGGTTTAACTTAAAAAAGTAAGTAACCTGGTTGACTTAAATTTTTAAGTTGATTGAACTGACAAAAGTGAGTTAATACAATCAGAATACCATCAGAAACTCAAAATAATAAGTTATCTCAACTAAATAAATAATTTAAGTTGATTTGACAAAAAAAATGCTGTGATAACAAATCTTGAAAATATATTTTTTTACAGTGTAAATGAAGTATTTTTTGGCAGTATAATGTTTTATTTTGCTTCTCATGAAAAAATAGCACGAAAATTTCACAAATAATCAAAGTCACACTAAATTAAATGTGAACTTTTAAAGTTTTTTTTTTCAACTGCGAATATTTCGATATTTGTACTGGGCAAAAAAAGTGAGAAAGAAGAAGGTTTTTGCCGTGAAAGACTGAATGTGGTCCTT